TTTGCTGCCTCAAAATTTAAATAAAGCATCACTGTACATTGATTTTCAATTTAGACATACAGAAAAGTGCAACTCGCAAACTACAGGGGGCTGAGTTTAAGCAGAGTAGCCCAGCTTGAATGCACAGTATATTTTCATAAACTGCAGCAGTTCCTTGTAAATTTTCTGGGCACAGTTCAAGACCTACAGAGTCCCAAGGGAAAGAGACTGAAATAGATTCCAGAGTAATAGTTCTGTTCCAGAATAAAGAGGCTTTATTCAAGAATAATTACTCTGCAGAGGCTGTAGTATGTCTCTAGTGGGGGAAAGTTGTTGATTTTAATTTTTCTTAGTTTCTGGTTACAGATCATATTGGATGTTGCTGCACTTCAGCTTTGTCACATTTTAAGTATTTTTATGCCAGTGATGTCTTGAGCATATGGATAGGTGCCCTTTTTAGTATGTATAAATCCTCCAAATTAATATTTGCCAGTAATATTGAGCAGAGAAGAGTCTCTAGAGATTTCTGTCAGAAAAATGAGCTCTGCTGCTTTAGCCATTGTAGTCAAATCAGCATCGTCTTGCATGGACCTTCTGTTTTTATGTAACTGAATACTGGAAACTAATCAATTAATCTGATTTGGAGAAAGAATACAGCAATAACTAGTGCTCACTAATATATGCAAGTGGGGCACTTGCTGTTCTTTAAGCCAGTATCTGCCAGTTGCTGTTGCTTGGCCTATTGTGGTTTTGCTCCTCCCCATTCAGGCAGAATTGATCTTTTGTTTCTCTCCCTCTGTAAAAAGCAAAACAGATGTTGCAAGTCTGGCGACCAGTGGTCTGAGAGAGGAAGAGGGAATACTTCATTTTAAGAGAGCAGCTTCATTTTGTGTGTTTTTTATGATGGTATCTTCCTTTTTTGCTTGTTATCGAGCCTTTTCCTTCTTGACAGATGTCTTTCAAAACATTCAAAGTCTCAGTCTGGCAGTTCTTGCCTCTCTGCACACTACCTGCTGCACAAGTCCTGACATTGCCCTCCCTCCTCCCCTTTCCCCCCAGAGAATCTGGCTGAGCTGTTCCCAAAGTCCAGGGACTTTTTGCCCAATGAAATGGTATGTCGTTGTCCCAAGGGAGTTGTTTTGACACATGATGCACATTTGTGGGTTTTTAAAACGCTTATTTCTTAGAGTGGAGTGTTTGAGATGTTTTGCTTGTTTTTGCTTGGATGACGAAATGATTGAGGTTGAAATCATTATAGCCTGGCAAGTACTGGGATATATCATCTCCTGTGTATTTAGATAGCCTTCCTATGCTTTGCTTAGCTGGAGGTGGGGAATATGAACACTGAAACCTATAAACAGAAATGTCTTTCCTCATGTGTGAACTGTGTTTGTCGAGGTACTGGGACTGTTCCAGGACTTTGCTGAGGGAATTTTGCAGAAGATGACTTGTTAGCCTTTTGTTAATATTAACTCTGTGTGGAACAGACTTGAACATTTTTATAGGGATTTCTGCTAATATAACTATGAAATAAAAAATTACCAAGTAAGAGCAGGACTTCAAGCAAAGTATGCTGCTTCTTGCACTGACCAGCGATTGATTCTTTACTGGAAGGTGGGGAAAAATTGGACCTGCTAACTTGGTTGTCCTTTGTTGTTTCTGGTTCTAGTCTTAAAATTGCAGTTTTACCAGCCCTAGTGTACAGTATGTGAAAGAGTGCACTGGTACAGAAATTCTTGTAAGTGAGTGGGCAGAGATGATGATAACATTAGAATACACAAATATTGTACTGGCATTGACAGGAATGGCTAAATTGGATGCAAGCTCCAGTTTAAGGATATTTGATACATTCACAGCTGTGAGTGACCTGCTAGCTAAAAACTACTCTGTCCCTGTCTGAACTACTTTTATGTAAAATTTATTTAAGTTAGAATTACTTTTTGCATTACGTCTAGTTGAGGGAAATTTTATTATTTTCTAAGTATGCTATTGACGCTCAATTCTTGCTCCTGAGTCGCATGCTTCTGTCTAAATCACAAGAAATTCTCCCTAGCTATAGAGGTTTTTGACTCCTTCCATGCAGACCAGTTTCTACATACGAGTGTAACTGTGTCATATGTGTAGGTATGTATTTGGGCAATATTACAGAAACTGATATGTGAATAATGACTATTAAAATAAATCTTTACACTGGTAAAGATTTTTTACTTCCAGTTAATTATAAACTAGAACTTCTGCTCTAAAATAAGCAGGCTTAAACTAACACTATCCTGGGCTTCAGATAAAACTCACTGATTTAAGTAAGACAGCATGTTTTTTTATATTTACTCTTCTGCTATGCTAAGTCTAACTCTTGCTGCAAATCCACAGCTTTTGCTTCCTGATTCAGTGTGTCAGAATTCTTAGGCCTTAGTAATGGGCTTATTTTAGAGTTGGTTACAATTCATGCAGCTGTAGTTAGGGTATATTTTATTTGACTAATCCCATTATTTTATTAAAGCCTGTAGCCAGACCACCTTGTGTTCTTTTGACCCCATCAGCTCTCTCGAGCTAAGAAGGGTGAGTTTAGGTCGTTGCTTGTATAAAACCACTGTTGGCTCAGATCAAGCGTAGGAAGTATTGTTGGCAATTGATTGGTGGCATAGTTTCCTTTAGTCAGTACTGAAACCTTGTCTTAGCATGCTGATAAAAGAATTTTGCAGCTTTCAGATGAAATAGGATTATAAATTGAAAACTGGTTGTATTTAAAATTCCATGGCTTATTATGGAAGAATAAAGATCATTAACATGTATGTTGTAGCCCAGGGTTGTCAAACATACAGCTTGCATGCCAGATCCAACCCAGGGAACCCTATGATGCAGCCTGTGGGTCTCGGACAAACCCCATGTGGCACATGCAGCCTGCAGAGCAGCCTGGGGCATAGGCTGGATGCACTGCCGTAGGCGCTGCTTGTATTGTCTGCGCTGGACCAGTCATGCATGCTGTTCCTAAGTGCATGGATGGCCTGAGGCCCAATTTCAGGTCAGCCTTGGAGCCGGTGTGCAGGACCATTCTGGCAGAGCACCCCATGCGACATGCACCCTGTGCCAACTGTGTGCAGAATGAGTCCTGGAGTGGGGCCAGTGGCGTGCACTAAATACAGCATGGGAGGGCTGGCAGAAGGCATGTGCTCCATGTGGTGCCCCACTTGTGTACCCCTGCGCACTAGCTCCAGCATGGCCCAGTCTGGCCCATAGACCAGCCCAGCAACTCTCATCAGACCCACAGAGCTGAATGAGTTTGATACTCCTGTTTTAGCCTAGTTAGTATTACCTCATGGTAGTACTCGTGCTGCATGCATTTATTGTTTTTAATTTTGTTTAACCAAGGAAATAGTGTTCAGTTCCTTTTCTTTTATAGGTTTTTGTGTTTTTCTGCTCTGTTTAACTGCTGTGTTCTATACCAGCAGTGGTTGTGCTTCAGTGAAATTATGGCTATAATGTCTTGCCAATCTCACAGAACTCAATTACACATGTAAATGTTTGTAAATATCTTGTGATCCTAAGATGGAAGTTGATGTTAAAGTGCTTATTGATTGTGCATTTTTAGGACTTTACATACAAAGAACTAAAATTGGTAACTATTCAGCTGAATTTAGTAAAACAGTGATTCTTAAGACAAGGCTTGAGGAAAAGGCAAAGAGTAAATTTCAATATAGCTGCTAAGGGTCTTCTCTGGGGAAAAAAAAAAGGGTGGGGGGCAAAAAATAGAATGCTTTGTCTGCATTTCCATGTGCTTGATTGCCTACCCAAGCATATGTTCTTGGAATTAACTTTTGTCTGTGAGAGAGTACTTGCTTCCTTTAAGAGCAAGAGGTACAGCTTCTTGTTCCTTGGCTGCTGTTCCATCTTGTACTGACTATCAAGGGGAAGCCATTGAATAAAGCCTGTAACATCTTACTTGATCATTTTAAGGGTTTCTGTTCTGAATAATCCATATGTTACTGTTCTGTAATGTTGTTTGTTTACCATTTTTCTCTGAATAGGGTCAAGGAAGGTAACATGACCCTGTTTCAGCTTTTGGCTCTAAAGCTGGAATTTAGCTTTTATATTTTCAATTGGGCTTCGTAAATACACAAACACCCCTGGAAAGAAACAAACTACCCTTACTTCATTTTCTAAACTAATAATTGTATTTAATCATTCTCTAGCTTCTTACAGTATTAGAAATTTACGGTTGTTCTATGGTATCCAGGTTGTAGGTGTATTGGTCTAGGGGCAAAAGGAATCAAACTTGTGGAAGAAGTGATATCTTTTATTAGACCAACTAGATATTTGCAAACAAATTACAGTAAAAGTTCTGTTAACCAGCATTTTACAAGCCGCCATGCTCAATTAACTGGCATGCTGGCTTGTAAGATAAAAGTGAAATCGCAAGGGGCAGAGGGATGCCCCAGATGCGGTTGGAGAAGCAGCGGCCTCGGCTGCTCAGTTAACTGGTATATTTTGTTATCTGGCATCCCCCATTCCCGGGGGACGCCGGATAGCAGAGCTTTTACTGTGTTTTTGTTCTATGTCACTTGAAACAGTCATTTTACCTGCTCTTGCTACAAGGTTTTTAACCTATGACTAACATCTCAGTAGTTGATGCAGAATACTTGCGTTCAATCTTAGGTGAAGTTGCTCTGAATACATTTAGATAATAAAAATGTAATGTGAGGGGAAATAATTAATCCTCCTTGCTGCTGTGGGACATGCTCCTGTTGTGGATAATTAAAGTTTGGTTAAGTGAGATTGTACTCTGTACCCAATGTGTAACTCCTTCATGCATGTGCATTTGCTGCTAACCTTGTATGTTTGTTACGTATATTATTTTCTTATTTCTTTATCATCTTAAATTTGGGGTCAGGGGAGGGAAATGCCACTATTTGTAAATATTAGAAAGTCACCTAGTATATCCAGCAATATCACCGCAAGTGTTGACCTTCTTTACCATTACCGTAGTCTTGAATAATGAACCAGTTTTCTTTACTGTTTTGCAGCTCTGGCTATGGGCCTGTGTGTTGCAATGATAGCCTTTGTGCGCTTGCCCAGCCTCAAGGTTTCCTGTTTGCTGCTCTCGGGGTTACTAATTTATGATGTATTTTGGGTAAGTTTTCATTCGGGTTTAAAATTTCTGCTGTCTTCCACATTTAGAATTTGCTCTTTCTTTTTTGCCAGCTAAAAAAGGTCCAGGATACAGAACTGCAAAGATCTAGCAGTCAGAAAATGAGCCCCTCTTAGTCCAGTTCTGAGCTTTGCTTGTTTGAAATGCTTATGGTAGGCTGCAGAGTCCTTTGCTCAGTAACTATTTGATGCATGCAGAACTGCAATAAGAACATTTTAATTCTGGTATGCAGGGAAGGCATCGCCCTCACAAATTGCAAAATGATGGCTGCAGATTAGAATGAGCATACACAAAAGAGCAGAAGTAAAGCCTTATTTGTCCAAGGAAACTGACTTGTTGCTGACTGCAGTCACCAGCAGTGGGTTTCTTAAACTGGGAAACAAAAGCTGGTTAACTGCTTGCATGGATGAGAGAGACTCTTTTCAACCCACGCAGAAAGCATGGCTGGAGACTGACTGGAACGCACTTTTTGTAACCGTGAAAAAGGGTTTTGTCCTACCCATGCTACTGTTTCCGGCACCGGTTCAGGAAACCACTTGCCAAACCAACCTGTCGGCAGTGTACCTAAGGTTCAGTAGAGTAAGACAGTTTTTTAGACCAATTTTCAACATTCTGTTCATTAACAGAAACATCTGCAAGCGAGTGAAGCAGTTCCACATCTGTTCATGCCCCTATATCCTCCTTTTTGTCCATACTATTACCTGCTTTTGCTACCCCTACTGAGTCCTTGTTGCTCCTTTATAAAGATGTGAAGTCAGTAGTTTGGGTTGAATATCCTAGGCCAATGGTTTCCTATTCAAATTCTTGAAGACAACTGGACTTAAAAACCTTTTTATCTGAACTTTGAGTAGACTTTTGTATTTTTGTATCTTCCTGACCTACCAGCCATCCCATATGTATTCTGTCTCTTTCCTTGAACAGAGCAGAAGTCAGAAAAGTAATTAAGATAATATAATTTGTTTGTATTGCTTTATAGCTGCAATTGTTCTGCTTCTAATTATTTTCCTGCATCCTAGGTATTTTTTTCTGCCTACATCTTTAATAGCAATGTTATGGTGAAAGTGGCCACACAACCAGCTGATAATCCCCTTGATGTTTTATCCCGGAAGCTTCACCTGGGACCAAATGTAGGTAGAGATGTTCCCCGTCTGTCGCTACCTGGTAAACTTGTCTTTCCAAGGTAAGACTAACAGGTTTTATACTGTATTACAGAACAAATTGATTCCCTCAGTTTCTGTCAAAATGGGTGCTGCTAAAAATAAATCCATGTCATCTCCTGTTTGATGTCACTTCCCCTTCAGTTAGTTATCTCAGGTTTCCTGGGAATTAGATTTCTGCATTAGACTAGTGGTTCTATGATGGGTCTTTTATCGCTGATATATTGGGTTATGCAGAGGAAGGGACAACCGTAGTACTCCAGAGGAGAATAACCTGGCCAGAAAGAACATTTCGTCTTGACCACTGTTGTTAGTGGTTGGCTTTTGTCAGTCTGAGGTTTTTTTGAGTACTTATTTAATGCAGCTGTAGACTTTCGTCTATTATACAAGTCTGTTCCTTTTTTTGTATCCCTTCACTGTTTGGCCTTGATATTTTGTTACTTATTTCCATATGGATTCATGTGTCAAATTTTGTTTTTCAGTTCTGATCGTTCTTCATTTCTTTGTCAGTTTTGGTTTTTCATGTTATAGATGATAAACAGCTTCCCACTTATTCCGTATATAATATATTTTGTATTCTTCTAGCTCTGCAAGGAGATGCAACAAAACAGCCCAACATTTCTACTCCTCATAAAGCAATTTGTACTTTGTGGTTTAACAATGACACCCCCCCCCCCC